TTTTGATAATTTAAAAATAATATTTTACCTGTGGAAAATACTTCAATAATCTGCAGTACCTAATGCAAACATATTCAATTTTTTTTAGCTCAGTCTTCAGTTGTTGAATCATATCATTAAACCATGAGCTTACATTTCTCATCAAGTTTCTTCTGGATATAGGAACTTTATTCGATGTTAAATGAAAATATTTTATAAATGCAGGGTGTTCAATCAAAAAAAAAGGTGACACAGTATTTATAATGAGTTCTAGGTTAGCCTTATCAAATTCTGTTTGACTGAGATTTTTTACTGTTTTTCCTACTTCCAATAATTTCAATTGTTTTTTGGGTTGAGTAAAATTATTATTATTGTACGGCTTCCTTTTGCCAAGCTCATTAAATTTAATTAATTCACTTGGATGAACATACTGAAAAAATAGGTTCATACCGCCAGGTATTAATTTCAATAATATAAAACGCATAAAAATTGCACATTTTTAAATTTATTCGACTATTTTTCAATACTTAAAATAACTGTAATTTATACCTACGAGTTTTAGTTTTACTTTAGATAATATTGTAAAATAACAAAAATCATAACAATTACTGAAAGTTTTTCAAAACAGGTAGTTAGGTAGGTAGTACTTCAACGTTTTATAAACACGATTGATCAAAAAATAATTTTAATCATTAATTTTTGAGTTGTTTACAAAAACTGTAAAATTGGTACTTATACTATAGTATGATGATTTATTTTTATATTATTGAAAACAATTTAATAATAATAATAGGCATTTGAACCTTAACATTAACCGGATATTTTTTCCTAAATTCACAAATAATTATAATTATAATTGTCCAATATGCATGAGGAACGATATATTTAATATACACGTATATTTTACTATAAATAAACATATTTTGATGTGAGTTTTTAAATTTTAATATGAATTTATAAAAGTTTATATCAATTTTATTTTTGCATGCATAGCATGCATTTGAATGTAAAATTTTATTTTTTTTTCAGTTGTATCTAATGTTGATAGTTGTTGTTTGAAATAAGTTTTTAAATAAGGCCACTTCAAATGGTCTTAAGACATTGTAGTTTAAAAAAATAAAATAGTTAATAAAGAAATAATAAACTTTCACAGAAATATAATAAGCTAATAAAGTATTAAACTAATAACAATATATTTTAAATTCTAACGACGTGTGAACAGAACACATGTTAGTTGAATAATGAAATTAAATTGAAAATTATACCGCCGTTGTTTTGTGGTTAATCCCCCACCAACACTCGCTCTCATGGTATTTACTATTTTCACAGAATATTTTTAGGATTTCCATTGGTTTATAGTGTTTATACACTAACAATGTTATAAAAATATAATGATAAAATATAGTCCATATAATGACTATTAAAGTTATTTTTATATTATTTTCGTCTACAGGAAATTCATATTAAAAAAATTTAAAAATACTATAAAAATAGTAAATTATAAATACGCCTCAGTTCTAGACTGCATTAACTCAAATTATGAAACTACTGATTCTATAATGAAATAAACGTCCTTTAGAGGTGAATAATGCAACTAAAAGTCATTGCGTAATAGAATCGAAATCGTCGTAATTTTGCAAATAATATTACGTAGATAACTCAATTCTGAATATTTTTGAGTTATTACAGTCTTGAACTAATGCGACGATATAACTGAGTGTAAAGTACATTATTGGTACGAATTGTTACAGATAGGTATACTTATAAATTATGCCACTATGTAATATGAATACATACAATACGTATGATATATTAATACATTATGTAAGTTATTATATACGTATATATGTATATAATAATATATGTAATAATAATAATATATAATATATGTATTTTGCTATAATCATGAATCTCTTCAACTCTATTTGAATAAATTACATTTGATTAGTGTTAATGAAAATGTATTTTTCAACTCATTTTTACTATATTCGTATCCAACAATATACTCATTGAGGTATAGTTGTATCTCAATCTACGGCTGGAGCATCGTCTGCAATCCGACGCATTTGGATGGCCTACCTGGCTGGCTACTGAGTACGAAACGAATATTGAACTTGCATTGCATCCTATCCACCATAGGCGGATTACACGAATAGTGATAGAATGTCACACAGGTAGACTGATACCTAGACACTCAAACTCAGATTCCGATTTTCCGATTTTAACACATATAAAAGAATCGGACATACACGCTCAAGGCATCGATTCTCAAACTGATCTTTTAAATACTTTTTACATTCCCGACTAAGGACTCTCACTACCGAAGCACAATTACATCAAGTCCCACTTGTAGCGAGGCCAAACAGAAGCTAGTAATTTAATAAACTACTTGTACTATTTTTGTTATCAAAAACTATTAAAAAAAACTCTCTAAAAAAATGAGGAATAACTATTCGAAATACTTTTAAAAAGTATTTTACCCAAGTCTGATTGTAGGTATACTAAAAAATGGTAATTATAAAAATTAACAATAAATCATATAAGAATGAGTACATTTGATAGTCACATTACACTTCGTATTTTGCCTGCTTATGTTATTTTGAATTTATTGAAGCGAACAAAGAGTATAAACATACAAACTTATTACTAATGGTATAAAGGACTGATGGAATTTATGCGCAAAGTAACATGAAATGAGCAATAATTTAAATAAAATTAATATCTATAAAATACCTACATAATATCCCTTAAAAATTAAAATTAATCCTCATTTATTTTTCTTTATTATTTTATCCCACAATTATTTGTATAAATTTTATAAATTACAAGATGCAAAAGACAGCTATCATTATTTTTAAAATTATAATTAATACATTTTTCAATGTTTTTAATTCTTACTAATAAACAGTAATTGTTATAATTTTAATTTCATCCATACTATTTGTATAATATATTATATTTATTATTTATTACAAAATACAATATCATATATAATTGCAAATATCAAAATTTGATTTTATCATTTTATACTATTTTACATTATTTTTATAAATAATTTTATTTATTATTTGTATATTTACCTCCCCTATTTTACAGGCTATAATTATAATCGTGTATATATTAACATATGAGGGCAACTGGTACATTTGGTCGAGGGCAATTGGTATATTTTAAAAATCCCGATAACAGCCGTTGGGGGCAACTGGTCAACTCCCAAGATGACTATGCAGAAATCTGTCGAGCAAATATTTCTAACAGGTAAGAACTATTAACCCTTTTCCAACCCTTTCAAGCCTATACGATGAAATATTAAAAGAAAAAAATTATTATTAATTATTTTAAGAAAAAAATTATTTTTAAGAAAACTGTTATTTTAGGGTCAAATTAGCATAAACAATTTCTTTTATAATTATTGAAAAATTTACTTTTTATTTATTATTATTATAATAAATTATTATAAATATAAGAATATTTAAAATGTATTATATTATATATATAAATTATTTATTATTATTATTACTATTATTTATTATTTGTTTTTATTAATTTTTTTATTTTTTTTTACTTGTTTTATAAACCTTATTCTTAAATTAATTATTGACAATTACCAGATACAACATTTTTTTTTAAACTTTTTTCATTCAAGTATACTATACTCATAAGCGTATGGAGACTTGCATTAAGGAGGTGTCTACTACACTTTTGGTCCTTATCATAACAAAACAAATAGATATATTTAATAAATAGTTCAATAAACATAAATCAAATTTTTTATTTAATTTTGTGGTAATTAGTCTCATGAATATGTTTTCCTGAAATCTTGTATATTTTTCACAGACACTTATAATTATTTATGATTTGTACTTTTGCAGTCAATTTAAGTTGTTATAATAAGTTTTTGCACTAAAATTTAGTTCTAGTTTTTCTAATAGAAAACATACTTTGTTTTTTTGTCGAGTATTTTAGTTTACTTCGTTGTTGGTAAATGACATAAATTTTCGGAGAATTTTACTCCTTTGCATTTAAAATAATAATCTTTTAGATTTTGATTGGTATGCTGAAAAAATTGAAAAAAAAAATTACATTGTTTGCTTTATAACTTTATATTCACTATAACTTGTATTGGCTATTAACAATAACGCGTTACTATGAAGTTTTAAAATTAAGTTTTTCAACCTAACAATAGTTCATATAAAATATTTGTCACAACAATAACAGAGTTGTAAGTAAATACATACAATTTTCATCTTATCTTTTCTGAAGGCACCACAAGTTTCATTTATACTAAAGTACTTACTACTAAAATACTTAAGTTTCAAGTTTAAAACGATTTTAATTTGTCAGTTAACTATTTTCCTAATATCGCTGATCAGTGGTCGATTTGTCGACTATTCAAATAGCGAATTCACCAGTCGTTGAAGATAGTCTTTGCAGAAATCTGTCGGGCAAATATTTCTACCCGGTAAGAATTTTTAACCCTTTTCCAACCCTTTCAAGCCTACTCTATGAAATACTTAAAAAAAATTATTTTTAAGAAAACTGTTATTTTAGGGTCAAATGAAGATAAATAATTTATTTTGTAATTTTTGAAAAATTTCCTTTTTATTTATTATTATTGTTTTTATTATTGTTATTATTATTATTTATTTAACAAAAACTAAATAAATATAGTTTTAAGTAAACTTAATTTAAAGGTTATTAGAAACACATAATTATTAATTGTACAGAGTGTGTATTACGTCTGTTTCTGAAAATGTACTAAAGAGTTTGGTAATATTTGTTAGAAAACCATACTGTATAATATACAGTGTATATGCTTATAGTTTAATATAAAATATGACATATGTTGCTAGTCACTTATATTCAACAAAAGAGTCTTTTTTTTCAATTTTCGCAGCAACATTTATTAAATTTTTTATTTTGGATCGAATTAAACGAAAATTATATAAATCCTTATAAAAAATAAATACAAAGTTTTTTTTTTCAATAATATAAAAAAAAAAAAAATTAAAAATTAACACTCAAAATGCTTGATAAAATTATAAACAACCATTAGGTACTACACAAATACATATAGGTTGTAAAAATGCTTATAGTTTGGCTAATCCAATAAATAAAAACAAAACACATTTTACGCATCGCGTAAAACTTAAAAAAAAAAAAATTCAACAATATATACTATTGCTTAACCGTCTTTCAAAACCGTATTTATCCATTTATGGTTAGACTTCACTTTATCGTAGAGCCTAGGCCTCATCATACCATCGGCCGAACATGCGATACGCCAATTGGTCACGCCCACCAGCACCCAGCTTTTTTTGGTAGCTGACAGACACATCATCGGACTTCCGGCAAACTCTTCCTCCGTGCAATCGTTGTGATCGTAAATCGAATCGTAACACAAACCGTTTACCGTTGTAATGCTAATATTGGCACAGCTTTCCATCGAACTTTCTTTGACTTCGATTCTTTGAAGATTATCCCCTAAAGTTAAAACCATTGTCACAATGGTTACGGTTAGTTAATCGTCACGGTTAGACAATACTTGACATCGGCCGATCATGTTTAATGTGAAAAAAAACATGTACTTACGATTTTTTGCCCATCCCAACGTCTGGCAGTGCGAGTACGGCCCCTCGTTTTGATCGTCGCTCAAGCACACCGACCGAATATGATCGGAGTATGTTACCGGTGAACTTAGCTTGACCATGACCAACGTGCTTCCTTCTACTGGCGATTTGACCATTCCAATGATGTGTCTTTCTTGTTGCCACGGGGACATGGCGTTCAGCCTTACCGCTCCCAAGCGTGCCACCCATTCTGCTTTACTTTGGCTAAATAAAAATGCAATCAAAACGTAGTTTTTAAGTATAATACGCATTCAAACCTTCAACTACTTGGTGATAATTTGATGTATATCATATATACACGCGTTAGTATTGAAATTATTATAATTAATATTAGCCTATGTAAATTGCATTTGTATACTACGAGTATTTACGTTAATTTTTGTTTTGTTAGAAATTGTTCATTTATGCAAAATTTACCCTTGAAAACACGAGGCACTAGTTAACAACCATTCAGGTGATATAAGACTACCGTCGCAAACATGAATTCCGCTTTTATAAAGTATAGCGTGCCACGGCCAATCTCCGTGAGAAGCCATTTTGTTGAAACCATCAATGCCGTATTTTTGTCTCCTATTTGTTTGCGTACCACAAACTGCGTATTAACAAAAAAAGGAAAAAAAACCTCTCTCAAAACTTGTCAAATTTAGTAATTAAAACGTAAATGCCTTTACGAGTACGATTTACTTACCGGCATCGTTACACGTGACATGCAAAACTTTTTTACTTGGACATGCTCCCAAGTTAAAAGTGATCTCGCTTGCGAACGGATCTACAACGTGCACGTATCGTGGAGGAACGGACGTCGTTATATCTTCGTCATCAACGATTTTGACACTAGTCAAATTCCTATAAAAAAGTATGCCGACGTTAATTATAATCGTATGATCGTAAAATAATACAAACAAATTGTATTACACGAGCGCGGACACTTACTGGTAATTGAGCGTGCGACAAAGCGATACAGCGATTGTCTGAAGCGCCGCGGTCATTTTTTCATTTGGAATGTCTGTTTGGAAATTAGCTGCACACAACTTGCCTGACATTCCCCGTTCAATGAAAAATACATAGCCTTCCGATGGATACGCATCAACAGATGCTAAAGGCAACATTTGATCCACAGACCGAGCAGCCGATGACATCAATACTAATACAAAAATATATATATATATATATTCTCATATTATATATATACATATATTTATTTTCCGTAAAAGATTCTGTAATATTATAAAATGTGATGGAATAGGTCTCTCGCCAGATACGGTTAAGAGGAGATAGTGAAAGGAAACTAACGGTAATTTAAGGATCTAGCGATGTTAGGCTGTCAACCTTACGCAAGTATACTTACTATCTCATCAACAGTGACGATGAAAGTATGGGTAGACCACTTCATTATACATATTCAGTATAGATACAAATTTTATTATGAATGCGATAAAAAGACGATGTAGTAAGTCATACTTACTAAACTGATGATGTATTTACATAGATTTATGATTTTTAAACGAAAAATAAGAAAATTGCTTTTCAACGATTATTTTAATGTCAAATAATTTCGTAGCATAATTTTACCATAAAAAAAAATTGAAAACTTTTAAACACAGTTATATTTAGAAATCCCTTTTATTTAAATATAAAGATTTTCCTTGTTATTGAAAATAGCTTCCACGCTCGCCGAATTTATTTCATAAGCAATTGCAGTTATTACTCAACGATTAACTATTTAACTAAAATCAATAGGTAAAATATTATACTTGACAAAAGTACTTACAACAGTTACGTTCATCGGCTTCGCCCGGACAGTCGACCACGCCATCGCATCGAGATCTAACAGGAATGCAAGTTCTCGAAGTGATACAATGAAGGTATCCGGCAGGACAGTAGCCGCAAGTTGTCTCGTCCGACATATCCGGGCAGTCGAGAACACCATCGCACAAACGGTTCGATAGCCCGGTCGTTCGTAGTTTATAATCGCAGCCAGGTTTCGACGTGCAGGTTGAACCGATATTACTGTAATCGGGTAATTTGGTACAATCGAAACCGTTCTGGAGTTTCAGCGGTATCCTGTGTCCACAGCCCGTCGTGAACAGTCGGCAGCTGTGCTTGCAAGGCAATATTATCTCGTCCTGATCAAGTTTGACGTTTGGATTACAAGCTGGCTGAAGGAGTTGGCAAACGAAATCCAACGTCCTCTGATAACACTCGGCGTCTACCAAGTCCCTGAAAAGCAAGCAACGTATAATCATATCACGTTAATGATATATATATATATATATATATATGTCATATCATATAACACGATAATTACGACACGCACACTACGTACGTATAATTATTTCGTCGGTTTATGCATGCATTCCGTACGCGTTATTATGTTACACAACCTACCTGAATGCGATCAAATCATCGTGAATTTCGTCCAGATTTCTGTGTCCAAAATGATTGGGATAACTCGTCAAATTGTAGTCTAAAACCGATTTGCATAGATTCAGTCTCACAGGAGTACATCGCCTCGGGGATGGCGTCGTCGAATAAAGTTGTACAGTTGTTATTTCTGGCGCCAATGTTGACGGTTTTGTAGAGAGAAGTGCGTTGTTGAAAATTTGAATAATGTGCAAACTTCCAGGAACGATTTTCGTCGAAGGATACATACGACGGAATGCCGACAGTATGTCCTCTACCGAAACGGACATTCGCCATCTGACTGGTTCGAATCTTAACCGAAAGTTCACTTTCAATTCGCCCTTTTCACTAAAAATAAAACAATTTATGTACAGCTTAGTGTATTTTTTCCACGGTAAGTTGTGTACTCGTGTATATGATATTATAATCGGTAAAATATTTTAAATCTCTTACGGTTCAAGAGAAATAATTTCTGCATCGATAAACTTTTTTTGTAAAGGACTGCTGTTAATTATGTTTTTGATTAAATGTGTATAGTTTAAGACATAATGTTGATAGTCTTGACTGTCTGGATTATTAAAGTCGATTAAATCTATTCTTTTTTCGTTTGCCCTTAAGTCGCCTCTAAATATTTTTTCTTCACCGTTGTACGTACGCTGTAAATAATCGTCTAAAAACCACAAGAAAACATTTTTTTTTTTGTTATTAATTATTATTATTACATACAATGAACGGTAAATACCGTTATGATAATATTTATTTCAACTTATTGGCTTGAATTTCACGGTCACTCGCATATCAAATGACTCGAAGTTTATAACTGAACTAATTAAAGTTTCCGTTTAATATGAATATTATTTTACACTGTACAGAAATATAAAGTAAAATATTTATTGTTTTCATAGAGACTTTTAACAATTCCAATACAAATTTACCTACTCTAATCCTAAAAATATATATTACAAAATAAATTTCAGTTTTCAAACATAATACATTTGAGCATAACCTATGCTTTATTTGTTCATTAAAAATTATTAAAGATTATTCCACAGTTTTCTAACTATTTTTATTAATAAATTACATGCATGATGAACATGTTTGTGTTAGAATAAAAGTTAAAAAAGTCATGTTTCTTGCAAGATTTTTTTTTTTTAGGTCCACGACAAAATGACTAAAATTATTTATTAAAAACACGTACGTTTTCAAGTTTCGAATGAACTATTGGAATAAATTGAAAAAACCCTTAATATTTTAAAACCAATACATTACACAACATTTTCGTATATTTTTGAAATATGATTTAACGTTTAAGCTGTTATCAACTATACAATTTATCTATATTTTTCTATGTGGCATGTGCGATATATTAGTTATAATTTATGCACAATTTATTGTTTAATGTATAACTAGGCATTAGTCTACGTTATATAGCTATTATATTGAACACGTAGATACAATTTATTGAACTATATTAAAATAATTATTGGTCATATTATGCAGTTAGGCGCCTTACTAATAATTTTTGTTCATTAAATGTGTGTATAAATATAACGTGTAAATTTTCTTTACAAATATTGGTCAGTCATGCGTGTATTATGTGTGTAACTAATATGTTTATAATATCGATTGTTTTTTTATGTTTTTTTCTAACATCATATTTTGAATCACGTTCACCTAATTTCTCAAGATAGAAAATCAATTTCCTTTAGGTCTTTTTTCTTTTTTATTTTTTACATATTTTTGAAACGTTTTTACTGATGAACAAAATAACGATTCATGAACATATGTAATACTTGAATAGAAATACCTACAACACAATGAATATAGTCGATCATTGGTGAAAGGAAGCGCCGTTTTGATACACTTTCAATCGAACTACCAAAACTCCCATATATTACATACAATAATAAAATGACGATTTTCGTACACGTACATTGTTACAGTTGTGATTCGCTAAATAATAATTACATAAAACGTGTAAGCAATCACAGAATAGAAAATGTGTGTATCCAAATACGATCTTCGGCTGCACGCAATACAACATTCGAATTTAACGCGGTAATAAATGATAAAAATAGGTATGTCTATATTTTTCAACTTTCCAATCTTCTTATTGTGCGTGTTGTAAAGGTTTAGTATATATTCTTAGAAACTATGAAAGGTCATTTGGCGATGGATGGCTTTTAATCAACTTAACTATTAATGTTCTTATTCAATATGTAGACATGAACATAATAATATAATGTTTTATTTGTCTATTGAAAACTATGTGAATTTGTAGTTAATGGAATTTTTTTAATTATTGAAAAACATAGATTTCTAGTAAAAAAAAAGATTCATGCCATGGAAAACAGTAAGAAAATATTTTTAAATTTATATTTTTCATTTAATGATAGTTGTATTATTAGGTAATCATTTTTATTGTACTTTCTAGTTTCGTTTCTTTAAAATATTTAAAATATATCTTAACATCATTAATTAAAGACAACTATATCAATTAATTTTTTTTAAATGACAAATTAAATTAAAAATTAGAAAAAATTTAAATTATTATATAATCGAAATTGTTAATTTTATTGATAAGGCTATAAAATTTCGAGTCCGCTGTGGGACTGATATTCAATAATCAATTATTCAATAATTTATAAACAATATATACGAGTATAATACATTAACAGATGAACAATTTAAAAAAAAAATAAAAAAAAATATCAATGACAAGTATTATTATTGGTTTAACTTAGTAATCTCGAACAATTGAATAAGAACGACATTTTAGTAGTTTGATTCATGAAAATCTGTGTATTTTTTTTACCTGGATGATGACTATAAATTCTTTAAAACAGAAATACATGTATAAATATATACTTCTAATATTTATTGAACCGAATAAACATAATCCAAATGAAATAAAACAAAACCTCCCATGAAATCATTTATCTGCAGTGTTGTTACATTCAAACATAATGCATTTTTCATGGTGCCAAAAAAAGAACGGTGTCTCATTTTAAAGATGAAAAAAAAACTTATGGAAAACCCGTTAGCCCAAATACTAGAATCTGTAATTTTTGATATCCAATAAAAAATGTTCATTAATTAATGATGGTGTTCGTCCATTTAATAGTTTTATAAAAAATGATCGAATTAATCGATTAGTAAAACGATTCTTTCACGGGAAAATACATTTTTATTAAAGCCATGTGCTTATACTTATCTAGTTTATAAGAAAAAACTAAACAAAGCTATTTATAATCCTATATATATATCCTGTAATAATTTAATGAATACGAAATGTAATTAATACCGTAAATTATAATGCATTTCTTTTATACATATTACACGCAAAGTTAATACCTAATCATTAAACGTCAATGATGATTTCACCATTTTTAATATACAAACTGGAAGATGATTAGGTATTATTATTGTTATTACATAAAATAATATGAATATTTTAAAAATAAAATGTGCTTTCTGTTGTTAATAATTTTCGAGTATATTATATTGAACTAATAGTTGTAATCTACAGTTATAAAAAGACATTTTAATAAAAAAATTCGTGAATCAAGATTGCGCAAAACGAAACGTAGTTATTTCATGCGCCTGAATTTATTATTTATAAGGGTTTATCTAAATTTCCATACTTTTAATTTTATATAATCTCATATATTAGTTATTTTAAACTGTATACTACTAGTGAGTACAACGTCTGTGATATAGTATTTAATTCCTTTCGAAAATAAAGTTCAAACCTGACAGTAAATGTTAAAATGTTTTTTATGAACTTTATTGAAATTGATAAATAGTGGTATTGTTATGGTTATACAGCATAATCTTACTGGCGATGTAATATAGTGGATTATTAAACTGTGTGTATGTACTACTAGAAAAAAAAAAACCAATTACTTTTTGAACTCAAAATATATTTTTTATACAGTGATCTATTGATCAATGATGCTGACCTAATTGATACAGATGCTAGTTTGACAGTATTCAATTACAAACTTCATTTATAAAAGAAAATTAAAGAATAAAAATTCATCAAAATAATTACAATTTATATCATGTAACGTAAATCTGAAATTATATTTTCAAATGACCATGACGATGATTAATATGAAAATATTTTATCCATAATTTGATACAACAAATGTACTACTAACAGTGTTGAGAATTATCTAGATAAATTATTTTGATAAATAATTAATTATTTTTTATCTTATCTAGATAACAAACAAAATTAGTTATCTGATGAATTAACTAAGATGAATTCTTCAGCTATTTAACGTAATTCATTCGGATAAATAAATACGAGTATATTTATTCGAAAAATTCGAAAAATTTTACTTGAAAGTTAAAAACTAATAATAATTTATAAATAATGAAATTTTTTATTATTATTAATTTATTAACTTTATAATTAATTATTATTATTTTAAAAGTTGTGTTAATGCAATACATGTTTAGTTATATTATCTAAATTATGACTAAGTATTGTTTTTAAGAATTGTTTACATATTTAATAAAGACTATTCAATTTATACTTTCAAGTGACTAAAATATTTGATTCTTAAGAGAATTAAATAATACAGATAATGGTTGAATTAACTTTTAAATATTTTAACCACAAATATTACACCATAATAAGTATTATATAAATTGTTATGAATTGTTTTATATAATTATAATATATACTATTATGTACTTATTATTTATTACTTATTTCCCATACGTACATAAATATATATAATATAAATATTTGTTACTCATTATTTATATCGGAGTTATCTATTAGATTAAAGTTAAATTAATTTAAATTTAATTACATTTTTTATGTATAAATTTATAAAAAAAAAAAAAAAAAAAGTGTAAATTAATTAATAAAATAAGAAAAAAAATGTATCTTTTATCATTATTTAGATAAATTTTTAGTTATCTTTGCGCAACACTAGTTATCATTATGCTGTATTGAACGTAGTAGAACGTTGATTTCTCGAATTTTCGAATTCTCGAACATTTTTCTGTTGTCTCTAAGGTTCGATTCAACAATATTTTACCGCATGTATAATAATAGTTGAAAAGTTAAATATTATACTATATAACTAAAATAAAAATTACTTACAACCCGCGTACAGCGATAGTGAAAATATCAACAAGAATACCAGTATTGTTTCGATTATACAACACCTCCATCTATACCTTTGGCTGAACTTTCTTGTAAATTTAAGTTCACTATCAGTTGTTGAAGCGTAGGAACTTGTCGCTCCACTTGCAACTGATACCTGAAAATTAAAAAAACGAAAATATTAAAAAGAAACAAGAAAGTATTCGGAACTAGAAAATGTTAAATTGACGGATGAGATTAGCGAGAAACTTATATGGAATCGTCTAGAACAGGAGCGAAGGCCGATCAATATAAAGTGTATAGAACATGCATAATATTTGTACGATAATTAGTCATGATACAATATATACTTTCAAAACGATATGCGTTCATTATAGGCAGCATCTGTTATAGAGCGTATACACATCTATATAGAATATGATTTAACACTTTAATAGTTATGCAAGAGTATTTTATTGCTCCACGGTGCGTAGAAATACCAGTATAATGTATAGATACAAGATGATAGCACAATGGAAGGTCAAAATCGTTGAACTGAATAGAAGAACTTTAAATCACGGTCAATGTCGACACGTTAGTATTTCGATGAGCCCACGATATTTCAATTGCAATTATTAATGTTACTAAACATTTTGTTATATTACACGCTAAGAAATGTGGGCATTCAATTGTATACAAATAAAAGGATGAATTAATTTTGAATTAGGTCATATAACATATTGAGAATTTGCAGAAAACGAGTAACATAACATTATAATTTTTTTATTTTATTTTTTTTATTTCTACACTTTTCTTTATAAAATATTAAAGAACGATCAACTATTATATATAGTCTTTTTAAGATTGTCTCTTATATTATCCTGGAAATTTAAATTTTTATCTTATTTTTAAAAATATAGTGTACATCCTATAAATATAAAAATGTTATATGCTAACAAATGTATATACTTTTATTAATTATTTACTTTCTAAGTTTTAAGAATCTTTTTTTTTTTTTTTTTGAACCGGAAATTTTATAAAATATCATTTTATACGTTATAGTTTATATTTTATAGTAGACAAATCTAAACCGTTAAGAATTTCCATTAAATTGCATATTATTTAGTCACAGTCAAAAATGATTAGGTCATATGTCAAAAAAAAAAAACATGTATATATATATATATATATAAACATTATTTACATACATTTATAGGTTAATAGATCGCAATAACATAAGCTCTCTATACAATACCAAACTTCAGGGTATTAGAGCTCAAGGTAGCTACTAAAGAAAGGAAATTTTAAAAATAAATAAATAAAAACTGATTTTAATTTTTATAAATTAACATACTTTAATAAGAAATTATTATACGAATATTATTATCATAATTAAAAAATACATATATGTATTTTTTTAGATATACATTGTATATCTATTAAATATAAAAAAAAACAAATTTATAAAAAAAATTTACAAGTTATAACGATACTGTTTACAATATTATTTCATAATTTTTATATTACAATATTATATTGTTATACCATGAATTTTTTTTTCTGCTAAGGAACGTATGACTTCATTATAGTCTACTGATTGCATTATTTCGAACTTCACGTACAACACGAAGTGGGTAGTAAGCCTATAATCTTCTGTGTTGGTTCTTAAATAATTTTTAATTAGCTTAAATAAATGAATTATAATAGTTACAAATATAATCGAACAAAGAAAATAATCACTAATAAACACCATGAAATAAATAAAATATGGCTCCAATACATATTATTACTTTATATGTACGTAACAATATAGTGTAACATAGAATTAGTTTCCAAATTACTACCTACCTATCTCATAATAATATTCTCATAAACTTATTTTTATCTAAGCCTTAAAAAAAAAAAAAATTATAAAAAATATTAAGTACAAGAAATATTTCTCCATGTTGATATATTTTGTATGCAATTTTTTTTTTTTTTTTTGTATTTGGTCGAAAGCCCTGGCCCCGGAAGGGTAGGAGCCCATAAGCACCTACCTAGTTTTCCTAGACGGAATTTCAACATTTGTTCTAGAAAATAAGAACTTAGCTGGACATATTAATGGTAATAAGTATTTAAGTATATAATAAATATTATGTTCGTAAATAAATTTAATACGGTTTAGTTAGTTTTAATAAATGCAATTGTCTAGAGAAATATTATAAAAAAGAAATCTTATTCAATAGAAAAATATTTACATAAAATAAACGAAAAATGTTGACTTAATTAACATAATTAATATACTTGAATTGTATACAAATTTCATTTGTTGTAAGTGGAACACAATAATATAATTATTTATTCCCTATTTAATTACAATTTATATTTAATTTTTTATCAGTTTAAGATGTATTAATCATATTTAAAGATGATTTATACATACATAGTACCTATACCTTATATATTACTATGTAATATATGTTTTCATGCTTTTGTTTTACTTTTTAAATAATGTTTTATGTATAATTTTGACAAATTAATATTATGTATGATATAATATTATGACTAACCTACCAATAATTTAATCTCATCTCTCATCAAATATTTTTATGACTTAGATATTACATTCTTACACTAGAATAATTGAAGTTGCATATAGTATGTAAATAATTTGTTTGGTAAATTCTTAATAAAACTTTATTTGTCATTTGTATGTGAACATTTAAAAATTTAAATTTGTTCATTAGTATTTATTGTTGATGTTAATTAGTTTGCGTAAATCATCATACAGTCAATCCAATTTAAAGTATTTTGTATGCGCTAGTATTGGTATACAATATTAATTAGAAGGTTTTGTATTAAAGTTTAACTAAACTTTCACTAATTATTTTCACTAAACCATAGGTTTTCCACACTTTTGCAGAATCATGTGGTTATTGAATGACATATTCATATTTAACAAAACGATAGTTGCCTAGTGATCGGATTACGTGAAATACCTCGAGAATCAATCCTCATGGTTTTAATTAATGTTTTTCCTAAACGTAACGAATGTTTTAAAATGTTAGAATCTATAATGCGTTCAATTACCGGCGAGGTTTCAACGCAGTAGCACTACATTATAATAATATTATATTATTTAGCACGGTTTACATGTTTATCTATCCGTGAGATTAACAAACATCGTTTTCTCGTAGACTGTATTATTAAACACGCGACGTGGGAAGAGAATATTAGTTATAATGTTCAAACGGGAAGTAGGTAAACGACACGTCTACGTGGATCTATGTTTGTGTTAATGACGCGATCATGTCAATCGAAAGATTCGTTAAAAAAAAAAAAAATATCTTAGTGCAATAAACGTACACGAATATATAAGTGGAGTAGACCATAAACGATAAAGTATACTACCGCGTATCGGTAACAACTATCACTTGGCGTCTAATTGCGATTGTTTGAAAGTGTTGAACTGCTGATTAGTATTTTTAATTTTTGCTAAGAAAATTGATTCAGTTATCTCGTAGAACAGGCACAGCGGTTGGTCCAATTGCGGTTCTCCATTTTTCAGTGAAACTCTTTTGACGATATTTTAATGGCCATTGTTACTCCGTGGTGATCGCACGTTAACACGAGTAAATTGTCGTGGGAATAATAATCTATTTACGAATTACCAGGAAACCAAATGAAATCGAAAACTTTTACTCGAAAACTACAAGTTCTCACGAATTAATATCACATAATATATTTCATTTGAAAGTACAGTATTTTTGAAAAAATAAAACTTTATGTTTCTCATTAACAAAAACAAAAGAAATTATAAAAATTACCGGCTTCGATGTGTGCCTATGATTAATTATCTACACGCCCACTATAATTTTATAGAAAACTTTTGTTTGAATTTCTAAAATGTATTAATATTTAATGTGTATTATAATTTTCTACAAAAACGTTCACCTTACATCTGCATATTTAAATATGATAACAAAAACAACTAGGTAATGCATCATAACAAAATGCATGGGTAAGAATATACATACCACTTTTACTATTCTTTAATTATACGAATACCATTTCAATAATAATATTTATATTAATTAAACGTTAATAATAGGCAGATTAGATATTTTTGTTTCTAAATACTTTCATTAATGACACGGATTATGGTTATTCATCACAAAATAAAAATCGACTAACCATTTATTTATTTCACACCTTATGGGTAGTTTATAATAATTGCGATGCACACCATACGTGTAGAAAATGAATCATTCACAAGCTTCACACGAACGACGAAAGTTTCAAGGAATACGGAAACTATAAAAACTTTCGGATGGGCCATGTAATCGTTTCGATTCTTAGGGTTTTTCGGATGACCACGAGCTGCGGTTTCTGCGCGTGATATACTTATTCGAACGTGTATATAACAGTACTACGACGTTACCTTTTCGTAACGTTTAACAATTTTTATACGCATTCGTTTCAGTCCTTAATTGTTCGTCACACGACTAAGCCCATCCACGCACACGTTGTGGATATTATTGTTTATGGTAGGGATGGGCAACTAGTGGGCCAATGTTTAGAAAATTAAAATCTAGCGGGCCAGAGCATAGAAAAAAAAAAAAAAGTCATTCAAAATATGAATCTTAATTAGTATTTATATATACACGGAAATAATATATAATAAAAATAATATATTCAATGCACGCGACAGCACGATACGAGTGATATGAAGAAACTGATATAGTTAAATGGTTTGGTACAAACAGCTATGGTTGAAAGCTATACATACATATAACATTTAGACATTTAACGACGTTTAATACCAGATAACAATTATCATAAGTTAGAGTACAGACGATAAACTTTAAAACTGTACGACGTAATTTTAAAATATAGCACAGACCGGATAAAAAAAGGCTCGCGGACTACCAGTTGCCAACCACTGGTTTACGGTATTCTTCTGGGATGAAATATAAATAAAAAAATTATAAAATATATACAATTTTAAATCGTTAATTTGGAAGTCAACTAGTCATCGCTTAGGTGTACGAAATACAAATAATAAATTATAATAAATACAATTTTAAACCATTGATTTGCAAATTTGAAACTAACTTTCTTTAAATATTTAACTCTCGTAATCTTCTCATTAATGTATTCAATCGTACAATTTTTCAAGTATTTGTTATTTCTTTCCTGTTTATTAGTAATCTATAGTCTATTATATTTCTATACTCTATCTTATCGATTAATAATCGTGTCTATATGTCATACATGTAGCTTTTAAAATTTTTTTTTGCTCTCCATGCACTGGCCCGCTGGATTTTGATTTCTGATAGTGTAGGTAAATTGTGTTAAAATTTAAAATTGTCACTATTTAACTTGTACACAAACGGGAACCGATTCGGCTAAATGGGAACCAATTCTGTTACTGCCCCCTGGTTTACGGTATTTTTCTGGGATGAAGTATAAACAAAATATTATCATAATATCATAACAATAGTATAACAACAACAACACGATATTGTAGCCGGACATCGGAACCGTCTCCGTTGCAACGGTCGCCGGCAATGCGCACGCGTTTTAATGTTTTAATGTGCACGAGTTGACCTAGATGCTCTCCGTTTTACCCAAACGACCGAATGTCGGCGTGCACGTGCTTGCGTTTTGAAAAACGGCTTTGGTGTCGGCGACAGAAAAATAATAACCGCTTGACGAGTCCCGGTGTCGTCGGACAAATCACGTGGTCACCGTTGCCCGTCCGGGAAATAACGGACGGTCGTCGTTGTCAGCATATCACAACAGCAACGCGGTAGAAGAGGAGATAGAAAAAAAAAAAAACGCGTTGACGCGGTCAGTCTTAGGTCTATACCAGCGGTTCCCAAACTTTTTTTCCGCGGTGCCCTGCTGTGAATAACGTTAAAGACGGAACAAAACAAAAACACTCACAGATAACCGATTTTATTAATTTTGTTAAAATTTAGCTAAATTATAAATAATAGATTTTCGAACTTAAAAAATAAACGAATAAAAATTATTGTTATTACGATCATAATTATAACATAAAAATATTGTAAGGTTAAAATGACAATGTCCGAATATACGATAGAAAATATTACATTACTCCCTATAACGTTTTAACGGGAATAATAAGGAAAAAGTATTCTATACATTTCAAACTATTTGTTATGAACCGTAGGCCACGATGCCCTTGAGAAGTGCTCGGGGTGCCCCTAGGGCACCGTGGTGCACGGTTTGGGAACCGCTGGTCTATACTATAAGGTTTATAGGCAGCCGCGGCGCCGTCCGACAGCTGTGTGCGATCCGTCGTGCGTTTACGCGCGTAGCATCCGGTTTCGTCCTTACCGCAGTGCCCACTGTACAACGTCTGCAGCGTTTTTTTTTTTACCGCACAATACGCACAAGCTATTGCCCGTTGTAATTTATTATTATCATTTTTATTTTTGTCGAAAAAAAGTTGTAAAATAAACCGAAACTCGCGCACACCATTACAACACGTGTACGAGGTGCCGACGGATTTTTGAATTCCTGCAAATCCTACGGAATGTGTTTCGCGTGTACGGCATGTGCGTTTTATGATTTTATGTACACAGTACATTAGTCACCGCAGTGGCGGCGGCGGCAGCGGTTTCTCTTGCTTTCACGTGCGTCGAATAATATCCGTCGCAGACACACGCGCTTATACGTGTTTCGATAACACTTGGCCCGGCAACCGAACACAGCGGGTTGAAGTCACGAATTTTTATTTTCTTTTGCACACACACACGCGCGCGCGCGCGCACACGATTTATTAACACTCGTCATATACGGTTACAAAGCATTGTTCGGCCGATATAACGTGCTCGGAAAACCAGCGACACGTGCAATGCGACCGTCGGCGATTTTTCGGTAGTTTATTTGCTATTAAGGCTTGGTAGATAATTCGACGGACGTTAAAAAAATGTTCTGCTCGAAACGCGAATTTCACAATGAGTCCATCGTTTTGATTGTAACGCAAGTAACCGCGTTAACCGACGGCGTAATGAGTAACATCGAGTACAGCTGTGATTTATGAGTGACATACCCAATGAAAAATTAAAAAAATTGATTTCGAAACAATAATCACATTATCAAAATGTCTTCAAACACTGTTTTTCAGCGAACGCATTATTTCGGTTTGTGTTTTTAAACTTGTTTCGAAAAAATTTAAAATAATAGCATCAAAGGAACTGAAAAACACAAATTTTCCAATAAGCGTTCTATTGTCATGATGCAATATGAAAAATTAATATTAATACTTCTTTATATATCAGAGAAAAACCGTATTTCTAGTTAGCTTATTTGTAATAGTTACGATGCTTGATCGAATAATACGCAACTTTGAAATTCTTCAAGAAATAATAATTTTTATCTATTGATTTAGTTAGAATTAAATAACTGTATGTTCAAAGAAAATATATGATTTTACATAAAAAAAAAAAAAAGAATAAATAATGTATTGGATTTAATGTTTATAGTAACTACATTAAATACAATATGAATTATTAAGCTCACTCAATTATTTGAAGAAAGTTGAAGTGATCAACAAGAATGTAAAAAAATAAAGGTTTATATAGAAAGTCAAACAAGCAGTCCAAAGCAGAAACCCGCGATTTCCGGGATGTTTGATTATAAAAAAACAAGTTATATGTATGACGTATTCATTTTTCTTCATGGAAAAGGATAGTGTTGAATTCATAAAATTTCGCTCAGCTAATCGGTGTTATCATGGTACTATTGGTCATAGTTTTTTTTGAAACCCAAATTATTTCCTTGACAAATAGATCCATGGAATAACTGTTATATTTATGAAAGTGTGTTATCTTTTTAATAAGAAAATATTATATTGTTAAGAGATTATAATAAATAGCTTATAGTATTTACTTTATACGAGTATATAAATTATCTTATAATAACATGGGCATTATTCGATAAACGTACACGGAAGCTCATATTACGTAGCGTGAAAAATCATTATAAATAAATAGATCATTAAACCACGGCAGAAAATCTTAAATGCGAAAATGACTGAGAAACTCTTTATATAATTTGCTCTTATATGATACCACATGACAGATTCCGTCAATTTATCTATGATAATACGATGTGAGTTGAAATGTTCTGCTTCATTAATTTGCAAGTAATAACTGATAATTATTTATATTTTCCGAATGTAGGTGTTACCTACCGTTTTATTTTATATGGGGTAAGCATAATGATAAAAATAAAATAAGTAAGCAACATATTTACGAATATTATGTGATATTTTTTATAACCAATTAATTTATTAATTCTGATAAGGTTTAAAAATAAACTGTACTACTTATTTGTAATTTTTTAGAAAACGTTTTTGATTAATTACTATTCTTTTAATTTTAAATATTTTAAATACGACCAAAAAGATAAAAAGTAGTTATAAACTATATAATTAAAATAACTAGATAATCAATTAATCAATTGTAATTGAGCTAAGGAAAACACAAAGGAAGTTAATTTTCTAAATTGCTACGGTTGATAATTATTTGTTTTTAATTCACTAAATCTGACGAGTATTTACAATTGACAAAATTATATTCTGTAGGTACTAGTTACTGATTAGAATGATTATAACATTTAGTTTTTCTACTTTTACTTCATATATTCAATTGAAAAACTCGCAAGACGTCATTTTATAAATAAAAAAAATACGTTTAATAATATATAATACAATTTTGGTATTAGATTGTGCACTAGTATAAATGTGCAAATGTTTATGAATAAATTATATTAATAAATACGAAATCGCATAAAAATGATTTCTAAGATCTATACATTTAAACGTAATAACTAATTTAATAAACCCTATTTCAATATGAATACAATGTTATTTCATTATATTGTGAATGATACAACTTATTAATAATATAAAAAGCAAAATGTGAGGTACAAACAAATATTTACTCTAAAGTATAAATATATATATATATATAATTATAAACTTTCAACTACTCACTTTTGTATCCCAAGGATTTTTTCCAGTCATATTATTATCACGATCCTTTGCATCTTTTAACAAATGACATAATTTTATTATTTTTATTTTGTACACTTATAGTATATATTTAATCTACATACATCGAAAATTGCGTGCACTAAAAAGAAAACTTTCAACAACAGATACTAGAAAATAATATGTTGATTCGTTGATTTCCAAAAATAATTTCAACACAAAATTATCGTGAATGTATTAAACAGTAAAACATTATACTATTCTTATAGACGTCCTCGTGAGTAGACTGTTTGCACATGTACTAAAACTACCGATATTCTTAGCTGTATCCGTTTGTTAGAGTAGTCGGGAGATCACTTTCTCCAACATTTCCCCCGTTCCAGTTTTTTTCTAGTTCGTCGTGTTGCAAGGATATGGTTTTTTTAGAAATTCATTAGTTAAATGGTCAGTCTTCAAATGACATATAACCTTTATATTCTTATGATTTCACGAAATTACAAAATAATAATACGTTTTTAATCATACATATTGAAAAGGAAAAATAGTTTATTTTATCATTAACTTGAATCAAAAGGTATTCTGTTTATGATTTAATTTTTTTTCATTATGAACCGATATTAAATATGAATAACACAAGTGTGAAAATAAAATAAGATATATAATTCAAATAAACAATTATAGATTCTTATATTTTTGAATGAATTTAGGTCAAACTTATAAAGCTGGTATACTTTCCAGTATATAATAATTTCCATTAATCACAAATCTCAATTACCTAAAAATAAAAGAAATGTCCTTCAAATGAATTTAATATATAAATAAATATCATTAATTTTTTTATAAATAATTTTTTAGTATCGTATTTAAAACATCAAATGTTCATAAAAATTTTTGTTTCCAACGAATATTTTTTTAGAAAACAAACAGTAGGTTAATAGATTTTTTAATGATAAAATATAAATATAATTTATATGTCATGTAATATATAAGTACATTCAAATCAATCCTAAAAAAAAGTAAATGATTGTTTTATTTAATTAATTGATAAGAAAATTTCAAACTGCTTATATTGACAACTTTTATAGTATTTTTAATCTTATAAAATACAATTATGCATTATTCCAATACTATTAGATATATATGTGTGTTATAATTATAATTTACTAATTAAATTTAGATTAGTATATTATTTCAGGAAATGATGCATTTTAATTAAAATTTATAGTTAAATTTATTCCATTGACTAACTAAAAAAAAAAAAAAGCAACAGTAAATTTAATAAATAACTGTAAAAAAATTACAATAAAATTATAAAAAAATTTAAAAATAATTAAATTTCAAATTTTAATTTCAACGATTCAATAGATTCATTCAAAAATGTGAAAATATGGATTTGACTAATTAAGTTAAAAACATTGAAAAATCATAAATAAATGTGTTTTTATGTTATAATAACCACCTAAAAACAGAATTCAAATTGCAGGTCTCTATGCAAAATATTCAGTGTTCTCAATTAGAGTTTGCGCACCGTACAAATAATATATATATAAATAAATATATATTAAAAAACACAGGACAGTTATAATAATCACAATAATAATAGTAATAGGTACTCATAATAATAATACGGTGATATTACCTATACACCGCTATGCATTCCTCACAATATATATAATTATGTATAATAAAACGGTGACACGGATGACAAGATGGCCGACGAACGTGTGATCGGACTCATACGGACGACACTGCAATAGACAATAGACAGTCGATCCGAATTAATAAACGACGTTACATATTGTAACAGAAAGTTCGACGTTCTCAAATCGAAAAGAAGTATCGCACCCAAAGAATCGGTGATATAAAAAATGCACATGTTGTTAAAATTGTGTATTACAAGAAAAAGTTTGACCGTATTTGGCCGGAGCCGCAACGAAACGACGCACCGAATCGTTATTCAGCTTGCCAAAATTCCATGTTTAGAATTTAAAATTTATCTAGTTGACAACTCTGTACATTCAATATATTAATCAAGATCGAAAAAAATAACGAGGATCGTAAAAATTTATGTGGATATCGTAAACTATTAAAAATCAAAGTATTCAAAGATGAAAAACATTCATTAGTACAGAGTTAGTATCGTTGTACACGGATGTTTCACAACTTTTTTTTTTGTGTATACTATTCAAGTATAGAAAATCAAGTAGCAAATAAGTAATTCAATTATTTTCCACAGTAGTATGTATGTTATTAACCGTGTAATATGCTTTTTATTTAAAAAAAATATATGACTTTTGTATGTAATTTTAATTGAAAACTATATTACATACAATTTACACATTTTTGCATATCAATTACATAAAAAAAAAAAAGTTTGGTTGTATACATTTTAAAATATATAAAATGTATTTGTCTTCAATCGCCTATGTATTTATAATGTTTTTTTTTATTTATGTCCTATTATTAGTATAAATAGTAAAAAAAGTATTTCCTGTTCAAATGTTGATCTTTTCAACTTATTAAGAGAAAAAGAGCCACTTATCTACAAAATATTAAGTCCAGACAATATTTATATAGTAAATTATACGAAAAATATCAGATAAATTTGAAAAATATGGGCTTTAAATGGCGAGATTTTATGTTTAATTATACCCATGGTTTTACATGTTTTCAAGTGTCCAACAAATTATATTAATTATCAGAAGAAGCACAAGAATATAGTCACAAGGATTATAAGGTTTAAAGAGGCCACCGTCAAAATGTAGTACAAGATTCAATTCAAATACAGATTTGTTTCATAATTTTTTAGTTACATTTGATCCACTAATCTTCACTACTAGAAATATGGCATCTGTAAACAAAAAAATACCTGCTAAATGATCTGAAAGCTTTACTAGTTTTTGATTTAAGTTCAAAAGAAAAAAATACTGAAGATTTCGATTTAAACACTGCATAAATATTTAAATTTTTATTATTTATTATATTTAATTATACGTAGAAATAGTTAATATCAAATATTTGATGTAATGGAACACTACTTTTATAGAAGTACTAAAACATTAATTAATTTAGACACGTTTTGTATAACCATTGATAATGCTCACTGTTCGTCAATGTGTTATTTTATTTTTTTTTTAATAAAATGTAATAGTTATTTAGTTACTTCATTCTTATAACGTTTACTTTTACGACATCTACCGGACAACATAAAAATCTTTGGCTACGTTTGAATGTTTGTAAATGTACACTAGAGGTTTCTTTATGTCCCATTATTTTTCACATAATTTTAATATTTTGGATTTATTAGATTGCACTGTAATATTCTACGGATGATGCATTACACATACTTGGGTAAAATACTTTTTAAAGGCATTTTAAAACCAAACACAGTATTCTATAACGATGTAGCATATTAAGGTGACTCGGTCCGAATGACTGAGCATATACTAATATATTATATTATAGTATAGTAATTCAGATAATGTTTGATATTCAAATATTTTATCAATACAAACTAGAGATCGTAAATTGAAAACGTAAATTAATACGTATACTTATTGCACGTGAACTTCCTATTTGTATTCAGTTTTATTAGAAGTATTCGCGTATTCACGGATATTTGTGCAGTATCATATATAACATTTTATATGGTAACCAGCTTTTATGTACTCCATGAGTCAAACTAATTATTATTATTAATTAACTGATTATTATTATGGTAGATAATCGATGTAGATAATTGTTTACTTGAAATAAAACAAATACTTAACATATATCACCAATTTATTATTATTTGGAATATTTGGAATATTTGGAATTGAATCCATATTTTTCTACATGTTTGAAAAATAATTCAATGGACTTTAGTACCTAATACCATTGCTGGTCTAGAGTGTTTTCATTTTGTGTGCATAATATTTTTAAGAATTTAAATAAATTGTTTCAATTTTGTAATAAGATTAATGTAAGAAATATTTATTAATAATTATGTTTTATTAGTTAAGTATGTTTATTTAAATTGAAATTGTAAATATAATTTGGACTATGTGCACAATAAATAGCGTAAACCCAAATTTTCTATGCAAATAATAATATATTATTGGTTGACAGCTAAAGAAAGAATGACAATCAATAAAATCATACAATTCAAAATACCCTATATTTTTGTCTAATATTTGTTTAAATCAACTAAACTTTAAATAAATAAAGAAATCCCATTATAAAATTCAAGTCTTGAAAGAAGAACTATTAAATTACACATGCAGCTATGTTATTTACTTTTACATGTTAACAAGGTGTAAAAATGATATTTCTGATAATTATTTATAAATCCTTATTATAGGAACAGTATACTAATACTATATTAATAATACAACCTAATTAATTTCAGGTGGTACTCATTTTTAGTTTATTTTAATACTTCATTTGAATGTCAATAATGCAATTAATACATAATTAAACCAAATTAATAATTATTCGACCGTAACAACAAAAGTTCTACAAAAACATTGGCACAGAATATAGCCTTTCTTCCGTGAAAACTGCATTGGAATGTGTTCGTGAAGTGTGAGAAATAGGTATAGTATATCATCGAGAAATAATTATTGTTATTAATCATATTGTACGTTTTCTGTTTATCTAGTATTTTGTTTTCAAATATTTATCTTTCGGATTTAAAGTTTGTTTACATTATGAATAATTACAATCAATTACGAGAAATTAGTAATTACAGGTGAATAACCACGTTTAAAACGTCATAAATTAAGTTTTAATTTTTCATACCCCTATACAAGAAAGTAAGTGATTTTCATTTTATTTCCTGTATTACAATCAATCGACCAGAAATCTGATAGGTACCTGTATATATTTAACTAGGCTAATACTTCAAGTTTGTCAAAATTCTAATAAACCACATAATTTCTTAAACGCAGAAAAAAACATTTTTTTAATTAATTTCATTTCATTAATCAAGTATTTTTATATTGATGATGATTAAGATATTGTTAAAATTACCATAAATGTCTACTACCATTGATTATTATAATTATATTATAATATTATATCATCAATTATACTACTATAGCTATTTTAAACATATTTTCTTCGTTATTTCAGTTCTTATCGATTTATCATAAAAATTTAAATGTTTTAATATTGATATCCCTTGATATTAAAATATTATGAATTTATCCACTAATTGATTTCTTCTAAGTTATATTTGTTGCTATATTATTATGATATAATATATATTATATAGAGCGGAAAACTCTAAAAAAAAGTTAATAGTAAAGAAAA